AGTTTCAGTTTCATTTTGGCGATTAGAAAATGGTGATCTGAGGCTATATCAGCTCCTCTCCTGGTTCTCACATCCTCCATAGTCCTGAACTTTTTGTTGATACAGATATGGTCGATTTAGTTCTGAGTAGTGTGATCCGATGAAATCCATGTAGCGTGGTGTACGCGTTTGTGCGGGAATATTGTGCCACCGATGACCAGTTTGTTGAAGGCACATAGGTTTGCAGATCTCTCACCATTTTCGTTTCTTTCTCCCAGTCCATGTCGTCCCATGATGTCTTCATATCCAGTGTTGTCTATGCCAACCCTGGCATTCAGGTCTCCCATAAGAATCGTCAAATCCTTTGGTGAACATTTCCCGACGGTTGACTGCAGCCTTTCGTAGAATTCATCTTTAACGTCGTCATTGTAGTCATTGGTAGGTGCATAACATTGAATGACGTTCATTGTAATGTCCTGTTTCTTTGTTTTGAAGGATGCTTTAATGATCCTGTGTCCATGAGATTCCCATCCAATCAGTGCCTTTTGTGCATGTTTGGACAGCATCAGTGCAACTCCCTGTGTATGTGAAGCATTTTCCTCTTCATGACCAGAGTATAACAGCAGTTCCCCTGAAGCTAGTCTCAGTTGTCCTACCTGTGTCCAATGCGTTTGACTGATGCCGAGCACCTCCATGTTGTATCTTTTCATTTCTGCCGCAACTTGAAATAGTCTTCCAGTCTCCAACAATGTACGAACGTTCCATGGGACTTGGCTTTCATCACACGACGTCATAATTCTTCCTCTAACTCTCAGGGCAGAGTTAAAATGGTTTGAATTATTTTTTCTGGTTAGCGTTTTTTTGGCAAGTTAGATTTCAACGGAATGGGGCCGCTAACCCCATGTCAAACCCTCCTCCTTTACCCGGGCTTGGGACCGGCAGTAGCCCCTAAGGTTCTACTGGAGGAGTTTAGGAGTCACAAGTAGACAGCTATTTGGGTCATGACTACGCCTACGTGCATTGTGTTCAAAATTCAGACTCGGCACGAGACAGTGAGAGAAGCAACTATCACTTAATACATATGTGGATATTAACGAATCAATTATACCAGGCTTTCTAAATACTTTACAATTTATACCTCTGGGGAGTTTAAAGACTGTATATATTGTCACATACTACATATAATTCAAGTAAGTTAAAATTTTTTCATAAAAAGCCGTGACATAGGCTCTCCTCATTTCTGTACTTTGTATAATGTTGTAGTACTTTTGTTTTAACAGACGAACCGATTGCGCCACTAGGCTTTGGAGGTATTTGGTGGACTGGATTATCGTAATCATGGAGTCGAGAAAAGTTTCGTTGAGTGCTAACGCTCTGATTGGGGGTAAATGGAGACTTGTGCGGAAGATTGGCGGTGGTTCATTTGGCGACATATATCTTGGACAAAATATGCTGACAGGCGATGAAGTTGCAATAAAGTTAGAACCTGTTACAGCCCGACACCCTCAGTTGCTTTACGAGAGCCGAGTTTATCGAGTTTTACAAGTATGCCATATAGATTCGTCAGTTGCATTGTTGGAACCACTTTCAAGTTTCGAGACATGTAGATGAGGAAACAGTATATATGAGCGATAAGGAATGAGATATTGATTGTAGGAAATGACAATTATCTCAACTACCACATTTTGAGACACACGTCAGGTCCAAGTGGATGATGGGATCCATAAGTATGTACATGTTTATCAGTTCTCTATTCGAAGCCATTCGCTTAGCTGTCTTTATTCGAGAGCATTCCGAATGAAACCAGGTACGCAATTCACTAATTTTTCGCTCTTCGGTTTAACAATTTTCGAGGTCTGTGGTTGAAATGTTTTTTTGCAAAGGTCTGGTGTTTGAGTGATTCCGCGTACTCAATGTGGTGTACATCATGATTGGATTACCTCTAGTTCTCCTTCGACTCAAACCTTTTCACCTTTTATAAGTTAAAACATACTGGTCGTGGACTTAAATTTCGAAATACCTGATATAAGCTTTCAGAATCTGACAACTCGAACACTAACGTTTTAAAACTCTTAGGACAATAGTTTAAACACATTTTTCTACATACATTATTTCTTTGATTTATAAAGCTTACACAACCTGTAGAATATCACATTCAGAGATTCTACTATCAGCTCATCAAATTCTCATCAATTTCGCCCTCATATTTCTGCAACCAATTACTGCTGAAGAAGAGGAATATCACGAACCTCTGAAGCAACCAAAACTTTTAGTTCATACACCTTCATATTATGAATATTCAGATTCTTATTCACAAATTTCTATGTCCTTTGCCGATACTCCACACGAAAATAACTACCAGCTTTGAAAGCGGTATATATTAGGTGCAGTGCGTCAACATTTTTTGGAATTCTACTTAGGTATGATCATCATTATACTCTTTTTTTGAGCCAAGTTCACGAACCAAGGCATTAAATAATTCACCCGATACAGTCCACAATGTTAATAACCATGGCATCGACGTACGACAGTTACACAGATTACTTTCCGTAAGAACAATAAAATCAGCCAGAAAACATTCTTCTTGCACATATAATGATGATGGTGTATAACGGTTTGTGAAAAAGCTAATGGATATCACTGACTTATTCTATTGGATATAGGATATTTGTTAGGTCCAATTTTTCGCTCCTTCCTTTTGTGAAGTACTGTGTGTCGATCTATTTGCAATTCACGAACCCAAATCAATGGCAAAACGAAATCCCAAAGTTAGGTACCAAAGTTTATTTTTAATTCACAGATAATCGACCAAAATGTCGTTCGTCGAATTACAAATAGACGACCAATGTCGTTCTTCAATTTTGTAGGTTCCTGGAGCAAAAACTGCAAACGAACAAACCAAGACAAACAGGAGTCCAAAAATGGCCGAAAATAATATTTCAAACAAGTTCATAAGTTAAGTAAGACAAATATACCCCAAAAACCCAGTGAAATTAATGATATTTATATAAAGGTTTTAATCAGCCAAATGTCTTCATTTCTCCTGTAACAATATTACTGACCTATTCTATTTCGCATATAGCTATATCTTTACATTCTTTTATCCCAAAACATCTATTTTTATCAAATCGTCTGCATTTTTTGATCGGTTTGCTAGAGTTATGTTTTTAGATTGTGAAGTCTTCAGATATTGGACATCGTATACTGTAGCGATGGAGATCTAAAGGTTGCCTAGGTAGTTTTTTTAGGTCGGTTATACTGCGAAGGTTACCTGTATATTGCGTATTTTCCAAGTAAGCTCGGAGTTGGTTTATGCTGACTCAAGGATATCTATCTATACTAAGTGGCGTTATACTAACAGTCCTAAGTTTGTCAAGTCTACCATTGCTATTATAAGTCACTACTTGTTTGTTAATTTATATTGTCTAATACGGAGTCAGAAATTGGTATGATTGTTCCAACGGCTGTGTATCTCAAAGCCCAGACGGATATTCATTTATTTACAGCAATGCATCACAAACTTTTTTTTGTCAAAGCCACGCGTGATTAGTTACTATTTTCTATCCTTCTTCCGATCGTAATACCTACCTTGGTTAGATAATCAAACTCACTAACGACTAAAGTTTACAAAACACTATTCCACGTCTACAGTTGCATGCGGTTGGCCACGTCCAAAACTGCATTTTGGAGCCCTAAGTGTTTCAAAAAATTGTGGCTTGGATCTAAGATCGTTTAGACGAAAGTCAGGAGCTCTCACTACTGATATACCTTTCGAGAAATAAAAGGTCTGAAATAACAGTGTACTCCGAATTTAGCCAGTGGGTCTTTGCCGACACGATCTTTTTAAGATAATGATCCTAAACTCGACAACCATAAATACTTTCGGTGACAATTGACTTTATATAACATACAAATTCTACACTTAATAGTCGTGTTTTTAATTTATTACGTCAGTTAGTGTCAAAAAATGCCTAAATTACGTAAAAAATGGTACGTTTCTTCGTCTTACGCCTCCTGATAACAATTATTTCTGTAGATTATGTGATTTATGGTTCTTTTATTACTAATGAATATTGCTTCCTCCTATGCTTAATACTCTTGACTAAGCGTTACATAAAAAAACTACAGACCTTTTTCAAAGGTAAGTATTTTTTTCTAATAAATGCCAAGTATTTCCTGTGTGAGGCAGTTTTAGCTGTGCAGTTTTCATACGTACATGGACAGTTGAACTCGAATATGTTACTAAAACGACTATTTTCAAATGTAGTTTCTATTCGCGGTGATGTAAATTCTGGTATTAAGGCGCGTATAGTTCGCTATATAGATAAGAACAACAATATTGTTGATGAAAACTAAATAGTATCGATGGTAGAAAAACATAGCTAAGAAGTAATCAAAGGGGGATTTCGATCATTTGAGAAAGTTGGCCTTATTTAATGATGAACTTATTGGTATGCTGCATTAGGTTTGCTACTAGCTTATATTCTGAGTTATTTCTAGTTACGTTTCTTTATTGTTTGGGTTATCAAAAACAGACGCGCTAATAAACTGCAGTTTGGAAGTCTAAAACAGCATTTCAAATAACTGTCATTTTATATAGGCTGCTTAAATCATAATGTTATGGACCACACTCTTTCAATATGCGTTTCAATTATGTTCTTTGGTGAAATTTTTATCTATCGCATTATAATTGAAAAATTCGACTCACCACTTGCTCCCAACCGTAGCTGCTACTTTGGCGTAGTGATTCAGCTTGCCTATTGTGATTACCCTACCGAGTTATATTGGCTGAAACACTAACACACCAGCAAGGTCGATTAAAAAACAATAAGACCAAAGGCAGAAATTCAAGGTCTGAAGACGAAGTCATACTGCTGATTGTAGAGAAATACAACAGTAAAGTATTTCCGTCGGAAAACCAGCACCTACAACGATGCCGTCAACTATTTCAACTTAGTAGGACATTTGTTTGATGTGTCTTATCAACGCCCTCACGATCTGTACTAAAACATTAGATATTCATGATTGCGTCTCTATATGAACCACCATTTATGATAATATCTGAAGGATGGACCACTTGTAATATTTCTGATTCAAGTACACCTACTGAGAACTGTGATCTATTTCGAAGTGATTGGTCACAAGGACAAAGAGGAAGATGTCCCATATATGCCCACTCTAACCTGAAATCACTCTTATGTGATGTACCAGAATTGAATAAACTACAAGATTCCGCGTGCATCTCTCTGAAACCTTTAAAGTTAGTTTCCTTACTATTTGGTTAAGATAGAAACAATTCCCAATTATATTAGAAAGCATCAAGGCTATGCAAATAGTCACTTATACCTATTATCATCTTAAATTTACATTAATATCAGTGGTCTTTGAATAATTGACATTTGTTTTGACATAGAAGTACTGAATGTAACTGTGTTCTTTTATCTTTAAAGTTTATTTCTTCAAGACAAAAACATTTCAACTTGTTAAACGAAATTATAAAAATCAAAGAATGGGACGACTAAAACATCGTATTATTTAAAGTGATCAAACAATCCGAATAAGTGGGAAACAGAGAATTGAAAAAGATTCGGAGACAACAGTAAAATGATGAACCTGTTCACCAATTATCACAAAACAAGGAATCACCATTATGAGTAACACATAGCTGCAAAGACTGGTTATTTATTTACGTAAGCCAACAAAAATTGTTATTTTAGTCGGCCAACTTATTGATCAAAGCCCTAATATTTGAAAAGATTAGGGTTAAACTACACAAATACAAATATAATTAAAGTGAGATGAAACATTTGACTTAAATTTCAATGTTGATTACCATTAAAAGTAGCATCCATACAGTAGTAGAATGCTACGCAATGCATAGGATTCGGTTGGGTTAGAAGTTATTGAACGAACCATGAACCACAGACCTTACTTTGATTACTGACGGTTAAGAACACATAGTTAACTCATCAAATTTTGTTGCCCGCATATAATTAACACATTCATAGTAAGTCCGTTCATTTTCCATAGTAAATTAGTGACTCAGCCGTTTTTCGCTAACTGACTATTAGAACATGTCACTGATTGGATTATGATTTTAAATTATATTAGGAATAATCTGATATCATAGATAATGAGATATTAATTAATAATTTAACCTGAAGTTAAGCGATGTTTTTTATGAACACTGACTACCTCAACGAGCAATGCTGTCTTATCTAAAGGTATGCTAATGGAAAGATAAAGGCGTCGTATCCAAAACATTCCAGAAATCTATGAATTCATTGCCAACTGGACTGAGCCGTGTCGGCAGATGTAGACTACCTGGTTGAGGTCCGTGAGACAACCGTAACCGGTGGTTGAAGACCTTGAATGACATTGCTCAAAATCGCTCACAGTGGTGCATGTGCATCCGTCCTTTGTTCTATATCAAGTTCTGATCTTCTGGATTCCTCACTATCGTTCTGTACTCTTTAAATTTCACTGGGACGTACTGCTCGAACCATGTGTCCGATACCTGATCTTCTCGATTACAGCCAATACTGCTACAACCTTTAAAACTACTGTGGGATTTGAAATGACACTTCTATTTATCTGTACCAGTGTGGTATGGCAACTTGAAATTATGTACGTACTTACGAAGTTCTACGATATTGCTGACTGACTGACTCAAACAATTAATTGTTACAAAGCTAATGAAACAATTCTCTCATCCGAACTCATGCAAAGGTCTTGCAATTTCCATTTATATCTCCCCAGTAACAGTGCTCTGGTTTTAAGTGTGGATATGCTTGTTCTCGCTCGAGATTTTCTCAGAGTACTCCTACTCTGTTTTTCTGTTGCAAGGTGTTTACTAGTTTGTCGGTACCGAAAATTAACGTCCAAAGCTTGTATCAAATCGGTGGGTACGGAGGATGCACCTAAGGATGTTGAGAAACCCTGATTCTAAACTAACAGTGCACAAGGGCTCCGAGATCCTAAAGAAACAAATAGCGTATAAGCATACTTCTGGTGACCGACTACTATTAGGCTGCAGCTTCTAACGTTGCATTATCTTGTGGACTAGACCTCTTGGTCAAAGGCTTCGGGAACGACCCGAAAAATGCACCTACTTGGCAAGAAAATTCGGGCACTTTTCCAGCCCACTCACAAATTCAGTGATGTGTGTAGTGCATAAATATTTAGGTGCCGCTTTGTACCAATAACTGTGTTTAAATCAAAGATCAATAGTCTGGGTGACTCTAAGTTTACCTAACTTTATTTTCCCTTTCTTTTGCAGCACAGTCATGATCACTTCAACATGGCTGTGTCGTGATCATCATGCTTTCAGACTGGCTAACAAACTACCCAGTTCAGTACCTTTCAATATGCCGTTCATATCACAGCAATGTGTTGGATTGTTTCGTATATTTCCAGTAGTTAGCAGTAGCGTATATGGGCATATGGGACGTATTAATTTCATATCGAAATCTAGAGAGTTTTTAAATCCCACCAGTAAGTAATTTAAGTAACTTTATTCAGCTATCTCTTGTCTGTCTACTCTATAACCATCGATGGAGTTGCCTTCGAAGCATTACTCGTGTATCCTGGAAGTACCGAATTCGCAATGCTGCATTTAGAAATACGTTATTAGGAAAATTATTTGAAGTAGTGAATCTTCACCACATAAGGTGGTTTTAACTTGCCCCATGCACGCCTGAACAACTATTTACTCGACGAACAATATCTGATAAACAGAATTGTCAGTTCGAATCCCACAGTAGTTTTAAAGGTTGTAGCAGTATTGGCTGTAATCGAGAAGATCAGGTATCGGACACATGGTTCGAGCAGTACGTCCCAGTGAAATTTAAAGAGTACAGAACGATAGTGAGGAATCCAGAAGATCAGAACTTGATATAGAACAAAGGACGGATGCACATGCACCACTGTGAGCGATTTTGAGCAATGTCATTCAAGGTCTTCAACCACCGGTTACGGTTGTCTCACGGACCTCAACCAGGTAGTCTACATCTGCCGACACGGCTCAGTCCAGTTGGCAATGAATTCATAGATTTCTGGAATGTTTTGGATACGACGCCTTTATCTTTCCATTAGCATACCTTTAGATAAGACAGCATTGCTTGTTGAGGTAGTCGGTGGTAAGCCAAATGAAACAGATAACCCAACTACCTCAGCTGATGAAGATTCACAAGTTCATCGATTGGTTGTCATCACCACCTAGTGCACTTTTCCTAGAGCCGGTATCGCTTACTCGATTTCACGGGGATATACGAACAGTGCTTCGAAAGCACCTATGATCAAATACTAGCAACCTACGAATATTCTCTTTTCTTAGTGGCCATGTTTCACACCCATATAGTAGTACGGAGCGTACTGCTGCTCAGCAAACTGGTCCTTTGGTTAGTAGACAGATATCTCACCTACGCTTTGAGTGACGCAAGTGAGCAAAAGCCAGTCGATCGTTCTGTATGTGTGCCGATATTTCGTCAGACACCAGGCTATCAGGACTGATGAGACTCCCGAGATAAGTGAAGTGGTCAATACTCTCAACCGCTTCAATCCCTATAATTAGTTCAGGAGCCGACAAAAGCCAATCTTGAAGCCAAATTTTGCATTACGCGGGGGAGGGAGTGGGTGGAGAATCGCATCCCGAACATGCTTGGATTGTTTTGTAAGGTGGTCAGAAGACTCTGCATCGTGCCAGCGTCTTCACCAAACAGAACTATGTCATCTGCATATTCTCAAGTCAACGAGTGAATCAAACTCCTGGAAAGTCAGGTGATGAAACTGTCGTCTCTGGAAGCATGTTAATGACAAAGTTAAATAAGGATGGAGAAAGTGGACAACCCTGACGAACACCAATTGAAGTAAACAATTCTGTTGAGAATTCGCGACAAGCTCTGACCCGATCAGTAGTGTTCGAGTGAAGAACCTATATTAGATTAGTGAGCATTTTAGTAAGCCTCTCAACAACCGCTACTGCTACGAAAGTTCACGATCAACGGAGTCAACCGCCAACTTAAGGTTGAGGAACGCAACTATGCCTATGTTCTATGACCTGCCGATGTTTGTACATTTCGTCTCAACATCAACGTTTCTGTCTGAAACCAGCCTGGTTTTCTCCAGTCTGCTGTTCACAAGTTCCAGTCAGACGTCGAAATATCATTGAAGCTAATATTGTAGATGCAGTGTTATTGATTAAACTGATTCCTCTGCGATTGTCACAAGAGGATTTTTGTCCTTTCGTGTAGTTTGGGACAATCCGTGATTGAGACTTGCGGCTCTGCGAAAGGTTCCAACCTTAAGCATCTGATTTCTGCGATCTCCTTGCAACTTTTTGAAGTGCGTCGTTTTGCTCCTTCAAAATACCGGTTAAATGAAACTTGTGAAGAGCTTGTGTAATGACCGAGGAATCTGGTAATCGGAGTGTGCTTATTAGTTGGAAACAACAGTTGGATTTGGTAAGTACCAGGAGCTGTTTGAATTTATTCTAGCTACTGCCATCAAGAAATTGACTATACTGGCTACTACAAGTGCTTATTAATTTGTATACTGTTATTCCATGCATAGCTGTACACTTTAAATTATGGTTTTTATTTTTTCAGATCTTAATAAAACTCGAGCTTTATTGGGTGCTGCAGCTGCAATCGGTATTGGTGGCCTTTGTCTCTATGGTTTATCTGGAAAGAATGGTGCACTTTCAACTTTTGATCGTCCATTTGCTTGGCCGGATTACGTAAACCAACGTATTCGAGCAACGTATGGCTACCTAGTGGCTAGTGCCATCATCGCAGCTGGTTCAGCGGTTGCATTTTTTCAGTCTCCTACTATGTGTCGTTTGATGCTTAGTGGTGGGTGGCTTGCTCCTATCGGAATGGTGGCATTAAGTATGACTACAGGAGTCATTTGTCAGGTATTCATTTTTTTGAAAAGTTTATCAAATAACTTACTATCAGTCGTACCCACTGAATAATTTTCTAATTTCTAACATATACAACGTACTTCGTTATCAGTCAGTCATTGGCACAGTAAATGTTGATTTAATGTTTGTGAAGCTGAGGTGAAACTACCGTTCAATAGTTTCGGCATTTGAACATCAAGGAATGCAATTATGCCAATGTTCTGACCTACCGAGGTTTGAACATTTCGTCTAAACATTAACGTTTCTGTCTGAAACCAGCCTGGTTTTCTCCAGTCTGCTGTTCACGAGTTCCAGTCAGACGTCGAAATATCATTGAAGCTAATATTGTAGATGCAGTGTTATTGATTAAACTGATTCCTCTGTTATTGCCACAAGAGGATTTTTTTCCTTTCGTATAGTTTGGGACAATCAGTGATCGAGAGCAGTCAGATGGGATTTACTGCTTCTTGTTAGCATTTTGGTCAATCTACTGGCAGATATCTCTTTTGTTTCCACATGCTTTTTTGGTTTTCATCAGAAGCATTCTGAAGGAGGGAACTGATATTATAATCTGACTAGTAGCGTGACATTTAGTGACTTGTCGCCACCTGGTTCGTATAATACTGATTGTAAATATTTCCGAGTTCTCATGTTACGTCTGTTACTAGGAACCCTTTGAATATACGGGATCTTGAGGATGCTGTGCATGTATCACAGGATTATTTGCTTGTCTCTATTTTTGTTCTAGTACCTTGTGATAAGGATTTCGATATGAATTTTTTTGGTTCGCTGATTTCCGAAATGCAGTACATTTTGGCCAAATACTCTAGGTAGTAACAGTACTGTAACGTTTTTTTACTCATATGAACAGAGTTTGAATAATACTTAATTTTGAATTAAATTTTCCGACTGAAGTTGTTTGTATTTGTTTGTGCACCTTGTTGTTGGATTAGAAATATGATGTTTAATACAAGTTATTGAGCTCATTCAAACCTCGGTTCTGAAGTTTGGCGTGTCATAAATGATTTTTATCATTGATCAGTAGCCAGGGCTATGATATTTTCTACTAGCCTTGGTTCAAATGTTGTGAATTATTTCTTGGCTTCATAGGATACTATCTGTTTATCGCGTGTGTTTCAAATATCCTTGATCTTTGAATTGATCGATACACATTTATCAGGTTCTGCGTTGCATCTGAAAATGATTATATTTCACATAGCAGTTAACTTTTCTGTTTATTTAATAATTTTAATGGTTAATTGCATACACTGTATCGAAATCAATATTAAATAACTTCTTTTAATTTGATCAAAATAGGAGTTCAGTTAGTTTACTCGATTTTTATCTAAACTATTGGAACTGTATACTAATCAATAAGATTCACGACTTTCTGCACTTCTAACATTATTCATTGTCAGGATTTGTGAATATTGTAACTTAGCCGACACTTTTTATTCGCCTTATTTTACTCACAGTCACTTCTATATCAAAAAAATATCCAGACTAGCCCCACATGATAACCATTGTGAATGTTTGAGAACTATTTCTATCAAAACCAGTCGTTTTCATGTACAACATACTGTTTGTTTTCTGGAGCCTATTAATTTTATATCATTGGCTTGAACCTACGTCACAGCGATGCTTAATATGTGTTTGGATAGTAGTAAGCTCACCAGTCTCTTTTGATCATACTTGCATGTTTAAATTAGAATCGGTTAACTTTTGTGACCTTTCATCCTAGTGAACGTTTTTAAAAATGTTTCGTCATTCCTGATTAAAAAATCTTCAGCATGATATTTTCTTTGTTTTATGTTCTTTTTTCAGTCAATTACATATCCACCATCGGGTCTAAATGCTAAACATTTAGTATGGATTGCACATTCTGTTGCTTTAGGCAGTATGTTGATGCCTATTTGTTTGGCTGGCGGAACAAATTTTATTCAAGCTGCCATGTATACTGGAGGTATAGTGGGTTCTATGTCATTGGTTGGAATGACAGCGCCATCAGACCGTTTTATCAACTGGGGTAATCCTTTAGCTATCGGTTTAGGAATTGCTGTTGTTTCACTTATTGGTAGGTTAATTAACAATATAGGATTCTGATACACATTTTTTATGTATAATACTAACATATTAATCATAAATACACTGGCTGTAGTTTATGATAATCTCCTAACCGTGTATAATTTATGACTGTGGTACATTCCCTGATAGAAATCTTACGAAAGTACATTCTGCATCCTCTTGAGTCTCCATTAAACCATTTTTATGGAGTATCTTAAACAGCTAAACATAAATGTCGTTAAATTTTTAAACACTGGGTTCTCGAGAAAAAAAAACAATAATTTATTTCTGAGAGTAAAGCCCTAAAAAGTAGCTGATTAACATTCGTAATGGTTCCCATTGTTCAAAACCAAACCTTGAATCGAATATCATAAGATGTTTACTCCTTAACAAGTAATTTCCAACGTCTTAACGCATTGCTGAGCACTAAAATCTAGATTTATTGAGTATTAAGTATGTGAATAACGATGAGGCTAGAATACTGTTGCATTCCAAATAATTAAATCATGTTAATCAATAGTTGGACAGTATATTCAAAACATTCAAAATTTATTTTCTTTTTCAAATCTTTGTAACAAATGTAATCCAAACTGATGTTTTCTTCTTCCATAAGGTTCCATTTTTTTATCTCCTGTAAATCGTTTTGGATCTGGCTTAGCGTCCATTGATCTTTACGGTTGTCTTCTTCTATTTTCTGGATATCTACTCCACGATACACAACATATGATAAGACGGGCAAAATCTCATCCACCTCCAAACTTCCATTCCCCAGGCTTACCAAATAACAGCGGATTTCAGAAATCAGAAGGATCAAAACCATTTGACCCAATCAACGAGTTAGTTATTTTGCATTAATTAACTTTTATTCACCAATGTATACTATGTTATCTTTAATCTAGTTACGAAATCCCGGAATTTAGTGATACAGTGATAGAAAACTCTAAAATCACCGACTAAGACTATTTTCAGCTTTGAAGTTAATTTAACGCAGTTTAAACACGACTTGATAAGGCCTGTATTCAAAGTTATGTACGTTAACGCATTTGACAGTGTATTCAATCATTCCACATATTTAATTTGGCAATTCAAGTGATTAGAAAACTGATGCTGTTTTTAAAATTAGTTTTTACTTCTTATGAGTTACAATAATTCAGGTTAAGAAAAGTAATTGTTAGACTTTTGTGTTTGTACTTGCTAAATTGTATTGAAGATTAGGTGACGCTACATTATCTGCAAATATAGTAGTAATTAAAAGAAATTTTGCTGAATGCTCTGCATACCCAGATTCATAAAAAGTCTACAGTATCTATCGGGTCCATACAATAGGAGGATGTTTTATAAAGTGAATAAAGGTATTTACAATGAAATAGAATCAACAAATGTCAGCAAATAGCTGTCCTGAGATCAAACTGTCAAAATGAAAATGAAGAATGCCAAGATTGTCAACAATTACAATGAAACGAACGTTCGACGAACACACATTAGGATGTGAGTATTAAGAACATGCAAGTAAAAGAGTGGATAAACCGAACACTCCGTTCACGCAAAAGCTATTTGAATGGAGACCGGTTACTGAATACTAAGATGCTAAATAATTGTTAACTCTCATGTTATTTATATTACGTGAAAATTCTCTTTTATATGTTTTGTCCACCTAATTCGTTGAGACAATAACTACTTAATGTTAAACTCACGTCATTTTCATAAACTGCTAAATTATTAACTTTTTTTGGCTATACTACTACATTGATGATAATTCAACTTGATTAAATTATTCGAAGTGGAAGTAGTAGTAGTAGTAAAACTTTTTTGTTTTTTAAATTCTTTTCTTTAATTCAGTTCTATTCGAATTTTATTAAATGCTGTGAACATATTTAATCGTATGGCAACAATGCTGTCTAATGGTGGCCAGTGCAAGATATGAACTTCATTTATTTTATTATTATGAGCAAACAATTAATTAGTTCTATTTTTTGCGACATCTAAACTGATTTGATTTTTTTGAATGCTGATTTAAATCATCAAACCTGATGAATTTCACTCATGTTTTGAAGAAAAAGTTAGTGAGATGCTGATCATATTTGAATCATGTATAAAATGCATGAGGTTTGGTAGTTTAATTGAATTAAGAATACTTTAAATTGAACAACCAGGCTTCTTACTTTTCAGAACTGACAGACTAACTAGTAGGATTAGTGATATTATCCTGAACATGTAAAACAGCCAATGCATACGAATTGTAGTGTTATTAACACACGAAAGTATAACTGATACGACGTTCGCGGATATGTTATAAGACACGAAATCAGAGAAGTCGCTTAGTATCGAATCGCTGAATATAATGTTGGACGATTGTGGTTTTCTTATAGGTGATCTTTCTACAGCTCCTGCTAACTGGATAGGCCTTGTAATAAAATACGTACGTGCGAGTTTCTATTTTGTAGCTGACTGACTGACTTGTGGATAAAGTCATTAGCAAACACAATATCAGAATCAGAGCATATGGGCCACTTAAGAAAAGGTTAAATCCAGAGGGGGTTATTTGTCACGGTTGCATTTGGTATATGAGAACGAACTACTGGTGAATAATCCTTGAAACAGCATCCACTACTGTTAGGAATCATATGATACAAACTAGTAATTTACCGCACAAGATAGAGTGAACTGCCTGATATTCATGATTCCCGTGTAGAGTCCTTCGTTGACATGAAGCTTTCACTATACTTCTGAATAATAGCAGCACAAACTATATATGGAAGTGAGATTCGAATTTCTCCATGAATAACTAATAGCTCATTCTATCAACCTCGATCTTAATTGATTTCTCTTTTACTCTATCCTATCATTCTCTACATATTTATTTCTGCTATCTCCATTCGATTAAATCCTTAGGTTGACGTAGCAAGCAAAGACATGCAAAGGTGTCTGCGTTCATGCAGACGAAAAAGTAATGTCTCTTGTAGGTGGACGAGTTTATATTAAAATAGTATTCGCTTTTTTATGTCATTAGATTCTTTGCTTTGCGATAGAGTGACTGTAATAACCGTCATTGGGTTGACTGTCGCCTTTCGTACCGTTGAAGGTAAATCCTGCTGAAATATGGCCATAACTGTTATGGAAATGGCGATTCTGTGAAGTATTGCTGAAATATGAGCTCAGTCTGTCTATAGTCTATTTTCCCACCTCAACTAATGAAGATTCACAAGTTCATCGATTGGTTGTCATCACCACCTAGTGCACTTTTCCTAGAGCCGGTATTGCTTACTCGATTTCGCCGGGATATTCGAATAGTGCTTCGAAGACACCTATGATCAAATACTAGCAACCTACGAATATTCTCTTTTCTTAGTGGCCATGTTTCACACCCATATAGTAGTACGGAGCGTACTGCTGCTCAGCAAACTGGTCCTTTGGTTAGTAGACAGATATCTCACCTACGCTTTGAGTGACGCAAGTGAGCAAAAGCCAGTCGATCGTTCTGTATGTGTGCCGATATTTCGTCAGACACCAGGCTATCAGGACTGATGAGACTCCCGAGATAAGTGAAGTGGTCAATACTCTCAACCGCTTCAATCCCTATAATTAGTTCAGGAGCCGACAAAAGCCAATCTTGAAGCCAAATTTTGCATTACGCGGGGGAGGGAGTGGGTGGAGAATCGCATCCCGAACATGCTTGGATTGTTTTGTAAGGTGGTCAGAAGACTCTGCATCGTGCCAGCGTCTTCACCAAACAGAACTATGTCATCTGCATATTCTCAAGTCAACGAGTGAATCAAACTCCTGGAAAGTCAGGTGATGAAACTGTCGTCTCTGGAAGCATGTTAATGACAAAGTTAAATAAGGATGGAGAAAGTGGACAACCCTGACGAACACCAATTGAAGTAAACAATTCTGTTGAGAATTCGCGACAAGCTCTGACCCGATCAGTAGTGTTCGAGTGAAGAACCTATATTAGATTGGTGAGCACTTTAGTAAGCCTCTCAACAACCGCTACTGCTACGAAAGTTCACGATCAACGGAGTCAACCGCCACCTTAAGGTCGAGGAACGCAACTATGCCTATGTTCTATGACCTGCCGATGTTTGTACATTTCGTCTCAACATCAACGTTTCTGTCTGAAACCAGCCTGGTTTTCTCCAGTCTGCTGTTCACGAGTTCCAGTCAGACGTCGAAATATCATTGAAGCTAATATTGTAGATGCAGTGTTATTGATTAAACTGATTCCTCTGTTATTGCCACAAGAGGATTTTTTTCCTTTCGTATAGTTTGGGACAATCAGTGATCGAGAGCAGTCAGATGGGATAACATGCAGTTCCCAGATACTCGTCAAGATCTTAGACAGTCTAACTGCTAAAACTGGACGACCATCCTTACAAATCTTAGGTTTTAATCTATCAGACAGAACCTACCGCTCTCCCTCGCCTTAGATTGCCTGTAGCCTTTTCAACCTCATTAAGAGTTTGAGGAATTACATCAACTTGCCATTCAGATTGACTGGAGACGGTGAGTTACTAAAGTGTGGCTGAAGGCCGGTCGAACTGCTCCCTAAAGTGTTCTGCACATGGATCCAATCTCCTGGATTGAGAGTGAATAATAATCCAGTCTTCTTCCGGGAGAGTCTCGCTGATAGTTGCCTACTGTTACTTAGTGCCGCTGCCTTTTCTCTATCTTTTTCTTGCGCTACGCACCACTGTTCGCGATCGTTGTGCAGAATTTCTATCAACCTGTGTTTAATCTGACTCCGCTCTTCGTCATGTTCAGAGCCAGAGGGGATGAGTTCCCGAGCGTCTATCATTCCAGTAGATCCTACTGGAATCGACTGATTCTCCCTGATCTTTTGATTTACCTTACTGCTGTATCTACAGGTTTTTGGATATCCTTCCAAGTTGCCTCACGGTTTGCATCAATGTATCAATAATGTGAATGTTGAATATTTTTGGGAGTATGATTGTGAAACGATTTGAATATCATCCCTAAAATATTCAGTCTTATTTTTCGGTAATGGCTCTCCACCACAAACAGTTCATCGAATCTTTGAACCATTTTTGTGCAAAGTGTGCATGTAATACGTCGAATTTTTCTATAATATGTAGGCAATCTATAAATAACTTATATCTGAAAATACGTAATACTATTCCATGTATGGATTAGTACCAGTTTTTCGTTATTCTGCAATAGATTTATCTGTCAGTAAATAGAAATTTTTCTAATTGTCGATTGAACACCATTAAGAAAACTCTCCTTTAAAATAAGGAACTGTTCGGACTGAACTTACTTTTTCTAATTTTTAAGTGTGCTAATATGATAATATTACTGAGATTGATGCTGTTTTCCATCAGTATTTATTTTCTTACCCTATATAGCACTTGAGAGAAGGTACGCATCTCACCGACGTTTTTCTATGTGCCTAACGAATCTGTCAAAGGAGTCCTAGTCAAATATGTGATCACTGCCCTGGTTTTCTGTCAAATGTTCATTCCCATTGCAATGGATTTAATCACAATTCGGATGTAATTTTTTTGCTGACTACCATCTATTTAATTTTGAACTGTTCAGCAGTTTAATTCACTACTTATCATAATCTTACTAGTGACCAACTTATTGGCAACCGCACAAATTAATCTTCAATATTTCAAATTTTCTTTGCAGGTTGTATGACGCTCTATGACATTAAGATGCTCGTTGACCTTTTGAATTTTTAGATTTATTAGTTTTCTTCAACATTACCATAGGACCTATTTAATAGGTCTACTAAATCGCCCACAGTATTTCTTTTTTAACTACTGCTAACTTTATTCCATCGTCACTATTCTTGTAGATTGGATGGGTACAGTAAAGTGAATACGAAAGGTGAATGATAATTTTTCTCGATTACAAGAACCACAGTCAGAAACATAATGAGATGCGCATACAGCAAGTTAAATTTAGTATTTTGGATGCAAAGCATCTTCTATCATTGTTTTGTGATGCCTAGCATTTTGAAGGTGCAGAATACTTGGAAGTTTGCATTAAATGTTGCTTCACCTGCTTCTTTAGTTTATTTCTTAGTGTATTGGCACGTTGCATAGTCTTCATGTGTGGGAATTTCCGTCCCAAATGTTGTTTCTGTCACTTAGCACTTTAACTGATTACGTAGTAGTTGTAAAGTTCCGGTGATGTAAAATGCTGTTTTTGGTTGTACATGAATCGGTTGATCATTGTGGAAGGCTTAATGGCTGAAGAGTGCTAACCAAGTTGATTTTGCCACTAAATTCATCTATAGTGAGAAAATTTCATCAGGAAATGTGTTGTACTTTTCGTTTTATAGTTTTCATCTAAACCACCAACATTAGGATAAAATTTGGTTAGTTTCCTTCTATCTGTTATTGTGAATCTCGTCGTCACTGTCCCTTGATTGAAATAACAGAACTTTCGAGCTCTATATGGATTCCTTTATTTTATTCACCAGTTTACGGATATTATTTAACTGAGAGATTAGCCTAAGAAATCCCTTATACCTAAATTTGAACACATTCTCTGAGTGCAGACCTCGATTTTGCTGGTGATTTTGATTTTTACGTAGGTAGATATTCTTTAGAAAAATAGTCATTAGATATTTTTACACGACGCATACGTCATAGTGTATTCCCTTTTTTAGCTCAAAACAGCGTCCATTCGTTATAAAAAGTTACAGGTTGTTGTATGTCGTGTAATAATAGATACCGTGCTGAAGGTTTACAAATTGGTAGGAATGACACTCTATGGTGATATAAAATAAAAGTAAAAACTTGACTATGTCACGGTTAGAATAACAAGCATTTGTGTATCTGTGATAGGAATTCTCATGCTGTTTCTAAAAGTAGGTGAAAGCCTAAGCTGAAATTACGGTTACACTAATAGCCAGTGTACTGCAGATTTGGTTCATTTTGATTGATGTAATGGTAA